AGAATGGGGGAGGCAGAAATGGGTTTGCTAGCAGAAATTCTCCCATTTTCAGGTGAAAATCCTTTTCTGTACATCTCAAGGTCTCAAAGGGAACTAGATGCTGCTTCGGAACAGTTACTATGTTTCTAGACAAAGCGCCTACTGACATTATTAAAATATACTAGAACAGTAAGCAGTATCTCCTTCTCTTCATTCTCTCTAGCAGCATGTGTTTGCAAGTATAACACCAATGTGGCTGGCCTTTGTTTGGAAACAGCTCTTGAGTTATGCATTTTAAGACTCAGTTTGCTCTGTACATGCATTGCATTTTCCTTAATTGTGAGAAAAGAACACTACAGTATATTTACTGCACATATTTATGTGAGAGAAAAATGCCACAGTATATTTAATACACATATTTATGTGAGAAAAATGCTACAGTATATTTACGACACATATTTATGTGAGAAAAATGCTACAGTATATTTACTACAGATATTTATGTGAGAAAAAATGCTACAGTATATTTACTACACATATTTATTAGAACCTGTCTCCCACTTTGTCTTGTCTCTCATTCTCTCCTAAGGTATAGTTGGGCGTCTGCTCTGACCTAGGCATCAGGGAGTCCCAGATGAGTGACCCCAGCTACTACCCTCAGGATGCTCACTGCAGCAGCTGCCCAGTGGGGCAACTCACACATTTTCACACTTGAGTCCCTGCAAAGGACCCAGTGTTCAAAATCATTTGTAATCATTTCTGGTGGTAGGATGATGGCCAATAAATGTATTAAACAAAACCAAAAACAAGGTGTGTCTTTTAAATAATACAATTTGAAGGATAAAATAAAAATCAATTGACTTGAGAAGCATAATTTCAATCCAGGAAATTTCATACATTATGTTGACAACTCTTGTTTCTCAAGCCAAGCAGTATGTAAATGCTTTATGTACATTGGGCTACGAATCATTATAATTGTCTTGGACTTGGTAAGTACTTGGCCAGAAAAGCACAGCTGATAAAGGCAGTCAAAGCCAGGACCCTGGCCCAGTCTATCTAAAACCTGAGGCCATGCTCTTAACCATTCTGTATTGAATAGCTCACATTTACAACTGCCCTGTTAAAAGGAAATTACAGGTTTGGCCAAGAAAAGAAAAACATTTACAAAGTCATAGCAGGGTGTCTGTCATGCCTTTGTGCTATCTCCCTTAGCCATGCAATTCCTGTGGGTGGAGTAATGTGTTGGCCTTCCTGGGGCAGGAAGGCTCTCTGGTCTAGGGGGAGGGTGGAATCTATGGCACTGAGAAACTCTTGTCTTTCCCAGTGAATAAATCTATGGCCTGAAGCTAATGTATCACCCTTACTCCCGGTACCTCTTCACTTTTATTGTCTACAGAATTGGAATAATAATTTCTGCCTTTGGAGAGAGATTCATTCATTCAGCAATTCATTGAGCATCTAAAGTGTCAGGGACAACTTCAGACACTGCAAACACCAAGATAAATGAGGCAGACAGTATGGTCAGTGTGGTATTGGCATAAGGATAAACATTAGTGGAACAGAATAAAGAATTTAGAAATAGACTCGCTTTTTTTTTACAAGAAGGCAAAATAATCCGTTGTAGAAAGGACAGTCTTTGTACAAATAGTGCTGAAACAACTGGATAGTCATATGCGGGGGTGGGGTGGGAGAATGAACCTCGATCCATACCTCATGCCATACACGGAAATCACTGGAATGAATCAGTGTAAAAACTACACCTGGGGAGGGACACAGGAACTTTCGGTAGTGAAAGAAACATCCTACATCTTGTTTATTATGGTAGTTACATGGGTGTATAAATTTGTCGAAACCCATTAAAATGTATACCCAAAATGTTTACACATTTATTGTTTGTAAATTATACTACAGTAAAGTTGATTTTCAAAAAGAAATCATATTCTTTGGAATCATATCCACTGAAAGATTTCAATGAATGCTGGATAAAGTCCAACTCCTCACTCTGTCCTGCAAAGCCCAAGGTGAGTTGGGCCTGTACACTTCTCTGACCCATCTTGTCACCTTTGTTTGCTTTTGATGTTCCTCCTTCCCGGAATGCTCTTCTCTCAGGTTTAGGGGTGGCTGATTCCGAAAGGACCTCAGCTCGGGGAAGTTCTTCTGGATTGCCTAACTCATCACTTGAGTGCATCATGGTGTGTTTTTTCAAAGCATGCATCATTAGTTGAAATTCTCTTATTTATTGTTTGCTTTTCCCCCTGAGAATATAATCTACACATAACAGGAAAGATATGTCTTCTCTACTCTTCTATCTGTAGGACTAGAATAGTGTCTGCCTAATAGTAGGTGTTCAGTAATGAATACAAAGCGGAAGGAATTCAGATTCTATAAGGCAGACAGTGCAGAAACATTGAAAGTTGCTAAGTAAAGGAATGGCTCCATTTAATTTGTACTGAAGAACGGTTACAGGAACTGGATTGGGAGCTGGGGAGAGATTGAAGGCAGATCTTATAGAAGGCTACCCACACCATTTCCGGTAAGGAGAACAGGAGGACTGAACTAAGCCTCTCTCAGAGGAGACAGAAAGGATGGGACAATCCAAACGACATTTAAGAGGTGGAATCAACAACATGTAGTTACTGCTCTGAGAGTACTGAGGATTAATCGTCATGCATGCCTGTGTAGATGGTGCTGCCCCGAACTGAAATAAGGAGTCCAGGACATGTGGCATGTTTAACAGATGAGTTTGGTTTGGGAATATTAATTTTGGTTACCTTCAGGACATTCTAGCAGAAATGACCAGTGGACAGATAGTAATATTAGTCTGAAACCTAGAAAAAGGGACTAAGAACAAGGATTTGAGAGTGATTAGGTTGGAGGTGGTAATAAAGGCATGGAAATGGAACCCTGGGGAGAGCTGTGGGTAAAAAAGGAGAAGAGAGCCCGTGATGAAACTCTAGGGGTTAACGAACCCCCAGGGACTGGGAAGAAGAGGAACTAGTGCAGAATAATAAAGGCAGCCAGGGGAGCAGAGCATAGAAGCCATGGAGAGAGTTTGGAGAAAGAACACTTAGTAGTGGCAATCACCACAGAGATTTGGCAAGAGAACGACGGCAAACTTGGCAATGAGGAGTGACTGCTGACTTCAGCAAGAGCTGTTTTCAATAAAGAGCAGGCAAAACAGAGAATTGAGTGGCCGGAAGTAATTGGCAGGGGAGGAATTTAGGATAAAATGCAGGATTCTTTTGAAAAGAAAGTGGGAAGTCATGCCTACAAGTCTCAGTAGGAGAAAGGTGTCTATTGAGGACAATAGGAATAACGCTGGGCTAAAGTGAAGATGTCCGTAGCATTGTGAAAAGCAGATACCGAACCAGCCGAGCCCCGATAACCAGATTGCTAGATGTCACCAAAGACTGGCTGGGGTTGGAGAGAGCTCCTTTCATTTGGCAGGAACATGGTTGTATGATTCTCTGCAGATGCGCTCCAGCTTCCTGGGTAGGAGCAAGGACAAGAGATTAGTTTGCTCACATTTACATGCTAGCAGCGTCATGGCAGCAGAGAACAAGGGGTAACTATGTTTGGGATTGTGGTCTACATGTTTGGGTCTAGACTGAGACAGACTTGGAGCATGAAGGTGGGCATGGGGAGGAAGACAGAGACTGAGAAAAATCGAAGGGCGGACAGTCAGTGAGAAGAGGGAGAGATCGAGAGGAATGGGAGGGTGCAGATGAAGATAGTTGTTGAGAACTTCCGAACTACTCGGAACTTCAGAACTTAGAATTTGGGCAGATGAAAGGTCTGGAGTGTGGCCGAACAATTAGGGGCTGAACCAGAAGTTAGTGATGTAAGTGAAGGTTAGATCTTTGGACCTGGAAGTGCAGCCACCCATAATGTCACTGCACACCTACTGATGTTCAGCCCAGCATCTGGGAGGCAGATGAAGAAACTGGGGACTTTCGTGAGTGATCAGGAGTCAACAGATAACAAGGAAATGAAACAGAGAGTTGGGTGGCATGAGGCTCAAAGGAGCATGGGCAGTTGCATGGCAGGGAAGGAGTATTCCGAAAGCCATAATGGGGAGTCAGGGGAAGGCCACACTGATTCCGGTGGTGCCCTTCCCCACGTGGCACAGCTGGGACACTGAAACAGACAGGAAGAACACTGGTGAAGGAACCCCCCGGTGAACAGTCGGGTCATCTACGATGAAGACAGGTGATGGGATGGAAAGAAACCTTGTCACGCTAAAGAAAAGAAGCCCGTGTCGGCTTTTGAACTTTCTGAAGTAATATGATAAATTTAACATAAGAAATATATCTTTGTTCCTACTAGTAGCTGTACATTTTAGTAGCAAAAATAGCACTGATTGTCACGATTCCTGTGAAAAAGTTAACAACATTCGGAATATCTGAATTCGTGTGTTTATTTTCATTTTATTTTACTTTTTTTAAATTGATTTTTAGAGAGAGAAGAAGGGAGAGAGAGATTGAAACATCAGAGAGAGAACATTAATTAGCTGCCTCCTGCATGCCCCCACTGGGGATCAGGCCCACAACCTGGGCCTGGGCCCTGACCGGGAATCGAACTGGAGACCTCTTAGTGCGTGGGTCAAAGCTCAACCACTGAGCCACACCGGCTGGGCTGAATTTATGTGTTTAAAAATTATATAGGTTTGGCCCTGGCCGGTTTGACTCAGCGGTTAGAGCGTCGGCCTGCGGTCCAGAGAGACCCGGGTTCGGTTCCCGCTAAGGCGCGTACCTCAGTTGCGGTTTTTCCCTGGCCCTGGTCGGTCGTGCGGGTGGCAGCCACTCGATGTGTCCCTTTCATGTCGATGTTTCTCTCTCTCTCTCTGTTCCTCTCTCTCCCTCCCACTCTACCTGAACAAAAAATGGAAAAATGTCCTCGGGTGAGGATAAAAAAAAAAAAATTATATAGGTTTGTATTTTAGCTGGGTTTCTTATGTTTTATAAATAATATTTTAAAAGTATGAGTGCTAATATTTATGTATGTATGGTTTGTTTTAACAGGTTCTTAATCAAGAACCAACTCTATGGATCCAGGACGGGTTTGTCCCAGGGCCTGCTCTGAACAGCATGCTGCCTGCTGAAGAGTCCATTGGCAAACCATCTCTGTTGCCTTACAGAGCGAGCAAAGAAGATGGATCGATTGAAGAGCCATCTGCCTGTGTGCTGTGTACCTTCTGTGCCCTTTCTAATCCTAGTATCCACTCTAGCGACTGCAAAGAGTGTGACTAACAGCACTTTAAATGGCACTGACGTGGTCTTGGGCTTTATGCCCGTAATCATTGCCAGAACTGACCATATCATAGTCAAGGAAGGGAATAGTGCCTTGATTAATTGTAGTGTTAATGGCATCCCTGATCCACAGTTCAAGTGGTATAATTCCATTGGCAAGCTGCTGAAAGAAGAAGAGGATGAGAAGGAGAGAGGAGGAGGTAGGCTTTCAAGTTGGGTCAAATGTCATAAAACATAAACACGGACCATAGAGCCAGCACCTTAAATCTGAGTTGTTCTTATTCAGGTCATTTAAAGATCTCATTTTGTCTTCTTTCTGGGGCAAGAGAGATAAATATATATCCTTAAGGATTCAAAGCAGTAATTAATTCTTTTCTCTTTTTTTTTTTTCACTCTTTGACTCAGAAGACAAAGGATAAACATTAAAGTCCCTTAAAAGGCCTCTTGGCATTATGTAATTTAATGTGTACAAAATGTTATAGGGACGAATGTAAAATGGATTTTTCCTTAAGTATATGTTCCATTTACAAGGGAGTTTAATTTTGTTTCACAGAACTGGCTCAAATAAACAGTATCGCAGTCGTTTATCGTTAAATGCCCGTTTAATCCATGGACTGTGGATTTAAAGGCCACACTTCTTAAAAGAAGTCTCACCAACTAGAGATCATTCTGTGCTCCTCGAGGCCTGGCTGGTGGTTCTAGACTGTCTCTTGCAGTTGAGGCCAGGAGGGAGGGGGAAAGCAATCGCAAGAAATAACATGTGCTAACAGGGGAACGCTTGGTTTTTAATGAACGAGTTTCTAACCAAAAAGTGTGAATCACCTACCTAAGTACTGAGCTTACGTCAGGGAAATTTCCAGCCAAAGGAAGGATTGATTGAGTCATTAGGAATCAGTACATTTCTTGTTTTAGGGGTGACAAGCAATTGTCTAAACACCCAAGCCTGAGCCCTTTGACCTAAAGAAGTTAATGTACTTTCCTGAGCATTTTCTTTGAGATCAAGTTAAGGGGTTCTGGCCAGGGAGTAAAAAGACCATTGTTCTGAGGCCAGAGCGTCTTTGTTCCTATCACCCTTCCATTCACACGGGCCTTCCCATCCCACAGCCCTTTAACCAGTGAACAGTCCCCAGAAGAGTTTCTGCTCCCAGGAAATCGTACATTTTTAATCTCCTTCCCTCTTTTTATCTTAAGTTTTATCTTCATTGCTCTGAAAAGAGAATAGCAGCTAATGCCTTATGTCTCCTTAGGAGCTGCAGGATGGAGGGAGTGGTGTTTTCCTGCAACTGCACGGTTCTGGTTCACAGCTGCACTCCTAGTGGTTAAGGTGGCTCCAAGTCTAACTCCCGGGGACTGGGTTTCATGGTCATGCTCTCACTTCCATTGCTTTTGGTCAGCCATTCAAGGGTGCACAGCACAAATAAGCTTCTTCCCTTTAATGAAAATATATATCAGGTATCATATATTCGTTTGCCTGTTTAACCTGGAAGAGTGGAACACTTTCTCCAACAGGTAATTAAGGGACCATATCATTTTAAAATTAGGAGGCACCTTAAGACATTGTAATCCAAATTCCTCTTTTACTCAGACTTTCCCCAGGCCCTGCTGTTATTAAGTGGCTATGACTAGAACCTTCACTACCTACTAGAAAGATGAGACAACACCACCCCTAACCCACATTTGGTTTCCATTTTTACAGTTCTTTCCCCCCAGACTACAGGGCAAAAGGAAGTGACATCACACTTGGGAAGAGGGACAGTCACCATAGTATCTTATACACCCTCAGGTCCCTGTAATTCATCAGGTCTTTCTGCAGAGTTAGGCCCCTTCGAGGAATATCCAGGTGAATGAATTGAGGAGAGCAAGAACTCAGACCTGAATCTCCCTTTCCATGGACCTTGGAGCAAAGGTTATCCCTGGGTATTAAAGAACTGGGCTGAGTGAACCCCTACGTCCAAGAACAGCCCAGTACTGGAACCTTAATTTCAGCCACAACACTTTGAGTCTGTCCTGAAGTAGTACCTTGCTGCTTCCAAGAGATCATGTGATGTCTTAATTGAAAAGGTCCTCATAACTGTTGACTCCATCATGGCAAGTGAACTCCATACCTTACCTTTATCATCTGTGTATTGGGAAGCTGAGCTAGATGGAAGTTACATTTGGCACAGTATTACTTTGTTCTGTGGGTGCTCAGGTGGTCTATAGTAGCAGCCTGTTGGTGACCCCTGGACCGTGGTAGCCAGTGGAAAGCCTTTGGCACAGAGAACTAACTGCTCTGTCAGAACTCAGCACGTCACCATGTTTGTAGCCAGCAGCCTTGCTGATAAATCAGATGTTTTGAAATCTCATAAGGAAGATGCACTCTCATTTTTTTAAAAAGAACTCATAATTCTAGTACTTGATGTTCCAGCTCAGCTTTTGCAGTTACAATGCATAATTATAGTAATTTCGGAACATAATAACACAGGGCAATGTAAAACTCTGTACCTAACAACCAAGCAAAGCATAGGAAATAGTAGGAAAGACACTCTTCATCATAAAATATCAGAATTTTAGTCCTAGAATGGCCAATTAGAGGACCCATAGCCTTTAACCCTTCATTTCTAGTGGAGAAAAAGCCCGTATTATAACACGAACATAGATTTTAATTTTCAGGCTGATAGGCTAGAAGTTTAAATAGAGCATTTATTGCTCTATTAATAACTCTTGTTACATTTGTAACTCAACAAAGAAGTGATTGAATATAGAATGAAAAATGAGGCTAATATCCTGGAATGTTGCCTAGATACAGTAGACTACTTGTAAAACCAAACTACCAAAATGAATGTGATTTTCATTAACAACCACTACCATTGATTAAGCCCCTGTACCCAGTTCCATGCATCATTTCTAATCTTTACGATAAGCATGACAGTTAGCTATTAATCTTCACGTTTACAAATGAGAAACCAGGTGAATGGAGAGGAAATTACACAACCACAGTGCAGCTAAGCTAGTATTTACTCTCCCTCTGTGCCCAGCCGGCGTCTGCTCATCCTTCAGGTCTCAGTAGGTGAAAAATGTTGAAGAGCATCTAACCCAGACTGAGTGAATGTCAGAAGCCCTCCAGGATGGAGAGGCATTGTAACCACCACCAGCACAGTCAACAGTGTTAGGATACATGGTGTGACGTGTGTATAGACAGACATGTATTCAAACTCATCTGGTGAGTTGCTCCAGGAGCACACTACCATTTGCTTTGTGATTAGCTGGGAAAGGAACGATTGCATCTCTTGTTTAGGCTGAAAAAGTGAGACAGCTATTATTCGTGCCAGCCCTGCCAGAGAGAAGGGGGCTATTTCCTGCCGTTGGCAGGAGCAGCTGCTGCTTTGCTTTTCTTCCCTTGTGCTTGTCACGTCAGTTCCACAGGATTAGGAGAGGCCAATGTGTAATCTTATTTCTGGAGGGAGATTTTCTTTTTTTTCACTCGTTCACCAAAAGACATGCTTGGGGTGGTTGGTGTACCAACCTTATTACAAAAATAACTCAGAATTCAAATAACATGAATAACCACAAATGGCCACACAATGTGCTGGTTTCAATTTTCCTTTTGCTGGAGGTGAATACAAATATATGGCTGTCAGAAAGCATTATGAAAAAGTCCTAGTTATTTCAGGTACGAATTATCGAGTGTATTTTTGCTGTGCCTTCTAACCCTGACTTTAAACCATTCAAATGTACCTTTATCAGACAATAAACAACAAGCATTTCAAGAAAGTCAGCTGGTATAGGCCTTTGTAAACATGACTGACTTATTAAGTTTAAAATCTCCCTTAAAGTTAGGTTTCAGACCTCTCTGTGGATTTGTCTTCCGGACCCTTGTAGCATTCTGTCACCAAAACGAATTAAGAATTATCTTTGGAAATAAACACGCACAGAGGAATGAGCTGAACTCCACAGTCCACAGTTCTCACCATGGCTGCTCTAGCTCTGTGGAATTCATTATAAATTTTGCATTTATTTTATATCTCTGCATTGTTTTTATCTCTCAGCTTTTCAGATTTTTTTAATGGTCTATAAATTGCTTTTTCACTATTTCTGCGAAGGATACCCTCCAGCTGTGCCAGCCAGGTTTCAACACTGTAGTGTATCATCTCCCTACTTAATATAGATGGAAGGAGGTCAGTTCCCACAGCACTCGATGTAAATTGTCCTTGGCCTCTAAGATCAGCATGAAGTAGTGTGTTAACTTTTGAAAATACTATACCGAATTCCTCTTTTTAGTACATTAAATATTTGAAATTTTAAAAAATCAACTTATCAATGGCATTAATCACAATAGGTGGAATTATGACAATAGTATTGGAAGTTCCAAAGAAATTTAGGATAGTTTTTCTTCGGGCAAGTTTCTTAACGTTTCTGAGCCATAGTTTTCCTATCTGTAAAAGAGAGATAATTCTTTTTGTTACTATGTACGTTTCTGAGTCCTAAATCAATGATTGTGTATTATATGCTTAGTATAGTACCTAGAGCCTACCAAACTATCACTAAACGGCAACTGCTGTTATTGGCAATACTGTCCTATTGCATGACAGTCATAGATTCTAAGCCCTTCAATCTCTGTTTTGTAAAGAAAGATCATTTTCTGGGTAATTTCTTATTCTCTACCTCAATTTCTCAATCTTTTAAATAAAATTTAAACACACACACACAAATGTATATCCCTTCCATGTTATTTGAAATTTGAAAATAATGTTACTGTCCTGAGAGCAAGTTTGGAATCCTCTCCCCATCAGAGGCTCCCTGCTCTTAGCACATTGCTTCAGCAGACACAGGGCACACCGGTATCCAATAGGCTTCTGTCTGGAAAAGCAGTGTATGTGGATATTGTAAAGTACATTATGCACAGGATGAACTTTACATTTGCCAAATCCAGTGTTTGCGAGGCTGCTGTTAAACCTCCTACAGTGCATAGGATAGACCCCTACAAAGAATTATCTAGTGCAAAAGGTCAGTCACACCCAAGCTGAGAAAGCCTGGTCTAACCCAAAGAAGCACTCCTCAGCTATCTAAAGAACCACTGCAAAGTAGATCTTCAGTTGTTTGAACCCATAGTGTATTTTGCCATAAAAGTGGTTTAATTTATGGTACTTTGATTCATTTTCCAAACGGAGTCATTTTAAGGGCCAAGTTGGGTAACAAACCACCATTTGTAAGCATTTCT